GGAGATGGCAGAAGTTTTTCTCCTTCACTTGTTTGAAGAGGCCTAATTTTACTTCAAATGCTTTGACATGTGATTGCATATCACAGATGAGCTTCCCCTTTCCTTGAAGTTGCACATTGAAACTGTTGAGTAGCTCTGTTACATCTGTCAGAAAGGCAAGGTGCCATTTCCATTCTGCATCATTGAGCTCTGGTACTTCTTTGTTTTTTGAAAGCAGAAAAGCTGTAATCTGTGGAAGTAAGTCATAAAAACGTTTCAAAACTCTCCCTCGACTCAGTCAACGGACTTCTGTGTGGTACAGAACATCTTCATAGTCAACATTTAGCTCAGACAGAAATTCCTGAAATTGTCTGTGGTTTAGTGCATGAGCTCTAATGAAGCTAACACAAGATACCACAATTTTCATAACAGAGTCCCACTTCAGTGATTTACTACACAGCGCTTGTTGGTGGATGAGGCAGTGTATGGCAATTGGATGAGAATGGTTATGTTTGTCCATCTCTTGGTTAATGCGAGCAATTACTCCTTTCTTAGACCCCACCATGCTAAGAGCACCATCAGTTGTCACACTGGCTAGTTTAGCCCAGTTCAGCTCCAAACCATTCACGTTTTGGCAAACCTTTTCATAGATATCCTCTCCTGTAGTTGTTCCTTTGATGCTTTGCAGTGCAGCAAGCTCTTCTGTGACTTCGAAGTAGTCATTCGTCCCACGAATAAAAATTAGAAGTTGTGCAGAATCACGAACATCATTGCTTTCGTCGAGTGCCAAGGAAAAATAGGAAAGTTTTTTTGTGGAGTTTTGCAAATGCTGATGCAAATTGTCTCCCATTTCTTCAATCCTCCTTGTAATTGTAGGTCCTGAAAGACTCACTGTACTAAATAAATCGGCCTTCTCTGGACACATCTCTTTGGCAACAGAAAGAAGGCATTCTTTAACAAATTCTCCTTCCATGAATGGTCTGCCAGTGCACGCTATTAGCTTGGCAACTTGAAAACTTGCTCGCAGTGATGAAATATTTAGCTGCTTCTGCTTCACAAAAGTATTTTGCCGAGTTGTTAATGTATTTTTCAGTTTTAATATTTTATCTTTTCTCACTTCTCCGACCAAACAATCATATTTATCTTTATGTTGAGTTTCATAGTGTCGACGTAAATTGTATTCTTTGAACACAGACACTATATTCTGGCATATCAGACACACAGCTCTTTCCTTGTACTGCATGAAAAAGTAATCATAAGTCCACTGTTCTTTGAATATCCTACACTCCGAGTCAATTTTTCTCTTTCTTGACATCATTGTTTACTAGGGAGTCAAAATTGCTATTAGTAAAATACCAATATATATACAGCACTACAAACACAATATACCAGCAATAACTTTGCCCACACAGAGATATACAGGCTGCACTGCCCATCAATGCAGTCTGATTGGGGGAACTCCGCTTTAACCCCAGGCTCACACTGGTGCGGGTGCCATTAAAACGTTAATTACACCTGCAGTTTTGTTCACAGATCGCAGTTCGATCTGCGAACTCGCATAGGAATCTGATCGCATGGGGGAGAAGACCCATGCGATCCGATTCCACTGCAGGAAAAAAGAAGGCACATGTGCCTTTTTTCTTCCGAATCTAATGCAAGTTCAGCCATACAAGCATATGGCTGAACTCGCACTGCTCAGAGATCGCAACAGTATGAACCGGGGCTTACACAACATACAACATATAACCTCATACAACTGAATAGCAATCAGAATATAAATGCACTTACTGTCATTTAAATTGGGTTTCCTACTCCTCGGTTGTCTGTCACTGACCAGCACGAAAACAGCAGGCAGCCCCTCCAGAGATCAGAGATCACTCTGTTATTACCCCTCTATCATTTACTCAGCGGTGCTGTAGATCCCCAGCACACAGGAATATCACTGGGAGTGGAGCTGAGGGGCAAGGGAGGGAGCTGAGAGAGGGAGAGCCAGTCAAGCGCAGCCAGGGGAGGGCTGGCAGCCTTAGGCCTGGGGGGCAAGTCCAGTCAATTGGCCCATTGAACCATTCACCAGCGCAGCCCAATGAGTGCCCACCGCCGCAGCTCAATCAGTGCTCACAGCCGCAGCTCAATCAGTGCCCACAGCCGCAGCTCAATCAGTGCTCACCAGCGCAGCCCAATTAGTGCTCACCAGCGCAGCCCAATTAGTGCTCACAAGCGCAGCCCAATTAGTGACCATGGGCCGGATAAATGTCCTCGGTGGGCCGCATGTGGCCCGCGGGCCGTAGTTTGAGGACCCCTGCTCTATGGCGTGGCGTGAAAGGTTCTACTGCACTCCAGACCACCCATCAACCAGTCAACCCGGTCTGCGCACAGCACACGTGACAATTCTTCACCAATAAAATAGCGACGATCGAGACAGCATTTTCTAACTCCAAAGCAACGGCGTCCTCCCCATCCGCCATTCGAGTTTAATCAACCTGTAATCAATGAAACACTCGAGACCCTGGCAGAGGTGTCGATGTTCATCGCACGGCTGCCAAATAAGACATCGCCGCTCGAGTGCATCCACGCCGTCGATTCTCAAATCGTGCTCGGACGGTGCTTGTGCCACCAATTGTCCACCTGCCAAATCTTTCGTTCAGCGAGGGGCTGTTTCCGAGACCGAATCAAAATGGCGCAGGTAACATCGCTCCTGACAAAAAAAGTTGGCTTCAGCCACAGTGACCCTGCAAACTATCGCCCGATCTCAAACCTGAGCAAGATTTCAAAGGTCATAGAGCGCCTTCGTCTGAAGCGGTTGCTTCCCCACGTCTCTGCAGATTCAACCCCTTTGCGGTCAGCATACCAGAAGTTCCACAGCACTGAGACGGCTCTTACTAAAGACCACCGATGACCTCTGAGATCACGGATGAGCGGTGTACCGTAGCGTTGGTTGGCGTCGATCTCTCAGCTCCCTTCGCCAACCATCGACCATGTGATACTCATCGGGCAACTTTGGTCAAGTTCGGTGTATGGAGTATGGCACTTGGGTGGATTGAATCATACCTACATGGTTGATCACAGGTCATTAAGCTGGGTGATGAAGTTACCGCCTATGCTGTACCCAGTTGGCGTATCGCAGGGGTCATTACTCGGGCCCTTCCAATCTTCAACGTACGTCTCTCCCAACGCCAATGTCCTATCATCTCATGACATCAATTCCATAAATATGCCGATACATAATTACATAATTGTACACCGCAGTGAAGTCAAAGTTAGAAATAGAGCCTCGGCAACCTCGAATAGTGCAAGCGAGCGGTGCACGTGCGGTTTCTCCTAAACGAAATGCTGCGTAATCCAGGAGAATCGGAAGTTCTGCTGGTTGGCACTCGGGTTCAGGCAGTACAATTTGTGGATCAGAATCTGTCGTTTGCTCACCAGGTGAAAAATATCGTCAGGTTCTGCGATTTTCCGATCACGGCTCTACGACACATTTGACCACTATTGAGTCGTGATGGCTAACACGGTTGTTGTGTAGGGTAGCATCGACAAAGCTCGATAATTATTGCAACTCAATACATCTACGGGAATTCTGCCAAAATCATTACCAAGCTGCGTATACAACATTCTTTGGCGCGTGTCGTGATGGGTTACTACAAGATCTGGCTGTGTCCGTCCAGTGCTTGCCGAACGAATGTATTATAAGGTCGCACCCATTACGCGCAAAGTGCTTGCCACAAATGAACCACAATACCTCGCTGATCTTGTCAAGGAGCTATAAGCTATCATCAGACGAACTCCGCTCATCCTCGCAGCGGCGGCTTTAGGCTGGCCATCAAACAATGACGGTGGTCACCACATCATCACGGCGCTTTCAGATGCACTTTTGTGGCCATCTGGAACGCTCTTCCTTCCGATATTAGGGAGCCACTGGAGCTGTGCACTTGTAAATCATCGAGATTGACAAACTAATTTATTTAGAACTGCTTGCTGTTTAGTTTGTGGTCCTTCCCCGCACCTCCGATTTGCATGGTTATCGACGTACAGTGCAAAATGAGTTCAACATTTATTCGTGCAGATGTAAGAGATCTGCGAGCCACCCTCATGCACCACGCATACATGAAATATCCGCTCTCACTATAACATGCACCACACGCGCGGGAATTCGCTAGACGGGGGTCAGGGGTTAAAGGGCAATGACGTCACCCAGACGAGGCATGCAGGGCGAGTATTGGGAACGAGGGCACGGAGATGGAGGGGTTAAAAGGGGCTGTGGGATGCGTGTTCGGGGTTGGTTTTGGAACGATTGTTGCTGTGCGATGGAGAAATAAAGAGCTCAACCAGTCTCAGACTCCTTTTCACAGACATCGCTACAAACCATGCAATGTAACTGGTATTGGCCAAACATCCCCATGCTCAAATCTTACCTCAACACAACTCCACAACCTTCTGAAATGAACTAAACCCACAAAGACGGTAGTCAACATATCGCGTGGCGCTTTCAGATACACTTATGCGGCCGCCTGGAAAGCTCTCCATCCAGATCAGGGGTGGGGAACGTCCGGCCCGCGGGCCGTATAAAGCCCGCGAAATAATTTGGTCTGGCCCTGCCAAGGCAACCGCAAGCGGGACACGAAATTCAATAAATCTCGGAGCAAACCTGGAAAAGCAGTTGCGAGTAGCAACATCAATACCAGCTAACATCACACACACCTCACCAAAGAGAAGCAGTTCCAGCCATCACATTAGGGGTGAGTTAATTAAACGTTTGAGCAAATATAACAGGATATTTTTTTAGTTGATAATTTTGTATGGCCCGCGAATGATGTTATAAATATCCAAATGGCCCTTGGCAGAAAAAAGGTTCCCCACCCCTGAACTAGATTGACAAACTCATTTCTTTAGCACCGCTTGTTGTTGCGTTTAGTTTGGCGTCCTTCCCCCCGCAGCTCCGATAAGCAAGGTTGGCTCCACACAGTGCGACAAAAGTTCAACAAACAATAAAATTGAGTTTCACAAAATGCACTCCCAGCCTTCCCTCCGATACAAAGCTTTTCTTTTATTGATCCCGATTCGCAATTGAAAAATAAAACTGTCAGTCATTACACAGCTGGGGGGCGAATGAGCTGGAACACAATCCTTTAGTCAATGGCCATGCGTCTCCATCGGGGATGTCTTTAATGGCCGTGTCAGCAACACTGATCCGGTGACAATTGAATGCATTGGTCCAAACCATAGGCGTGAATGTTTCTCGGGTCTCTCTCTCAGGAGTTTCGTAGTGGCCAAACCCAGGGCTTGAACCAAGGAACAGCAACAGTGCTGGCCTCGGTGTCTCCGTCACAGCCGTTGTGAACCTTCCCTGGAGACACTGAAGGGCACCAAGGCTCAAACCTAGCACCTTTAAAAAAAAAAGCCCACCGTGTCTCCTGACACGGCCACGCAGACTCATTGAGACATAGGGACACCCCCAGACGCCAGATTGGAATACAGAATATAGTAAGTAAAGAAAGTCAAGTCCACACAGCCATTTCGAATTTCTTGAGAGACAGCCAGACCAGGCGTTCGAACCCAGGACTTCTACTGGACAACTGTCAAAAAGAGCTTCATAGCTCATTGGATTCCTCCGATCAAAACAAAAGATTTAGATTTTAAAGATTCTAATTTTTAACTAGTGTCACTGGCTCGCAGTCTCCGACACGGCCATGGACGTAGAGGGAGGCACCCAGGCGTTTAACCTAGGATCGCAGTGGTGCTGGATCAGCGTCTCTGACACGTCCATTGTGAACCCCCATAAGATACACAGAAAGACCCACGATGCCCTGGGCATGAACCCAGAACCTCAACACAAGGTGTCTCTTGACACGGCCACTATTAACTCTTTGATCCACCCACTCCCTCCCACTGACCCTCCTCCGCTCAGTCGTGGGTTCACGATGGCCTGGTGGTGTCTGGGTTGACGATGGCCTGGTGGTGTCTGGGTTGACGATGGCCTGGTGGTGTCTGGGTTGACGATGGCCTGGTGGTGTCTGGGTTGACGATGGCCTGGTGGTGTCTGGGTTGACGATGGCCTGGTGGTGTCTGGGTTCACGATGGCCTGGTGGTGTCTGGGTTGACGATGGCCTGGTGGTGTCTGGGTTGACGATGGCCTGGTGGTGTCTGGGTTGACGATGGCCTGGTGGTGTCTGGGTTGACGATGGCCTGGTGGTGTCTGGGTTGACGATGGCCTGGTGGTGTCTGGGTTGACGATGGCCTGGTGGTGTCTGGGTTGACGATGGCCAGTGGTGTAAACTAAACCATTTTTTTTATTTTACCAGGTAAGGCCCAGTTAGCTATGGAGCTCTATTTCAGAAGCGACCTGACTATTTCAAAAGACAGCTTAACGAAATGGTGGCTTAACATCACGTGGAAATGTATATCAGCCAAATACTCCGAATGCGTGACGTGGAGGGAAAACCCCTAGGACCTGGAAAGCAAATCCACGCGACCAACACGGGGAAGGGGGTGGCGGGGGAGGGACACGCACACTCCAAATATATAACAGGCATCGTGAGGGTCAGCATCGAACCCACGACCGTCTGCAAACCAGGAGAAGTTAGTTAACGTCTTCTCGCCACTGCCGGGCCCCCGTTCATGACGGGTTCACGACGGCCGACCGCCGCGGCCCTCAAGTGCCGTAGGTGGCCTCGTCGAAGGCCTTGCGAGCCTTCTTGAGCTCCTCGTTCATGGTGAGCAGCTCCTTCATGCGCGAGAATTTGCGCTCGTCCTTCCTGACGAGGAACACCAGGTCCTCGACCTGCAGCCGCCCGGGCCGCCCTACGGCGATCGCCCTGTGAGTCTGAGAGAGTGAGAGAGACAGGGATAGCCTTGTAGGTCTGAGAGAGACAGAGATAGCCCTGTAGGTGTGAGGGTGGGTGAGTGTGAGTGGGTGAGTGTGAGAGTGGTGAGTGTGAGAGTGGTGAGTGTGAGTGGGTGAGTGTGGGAGTGTGTGAGTGTGAGAGAGTGGTGAGTGTGGTGAGAATGAGAGTGGGTGAGTGTGAGAGTGGGTGAGTGTGAGAGTGGGTGAGTGAATGGCTAAGTGGGTGAGTGTGAGAGTGGGTGAGTGTGAGAGTGGATGAGTGTGAGAGTGGATGAGTGTGAGTGAGTGTGAGCGTGGGTGAGTGAGAGTGAGTGAGTGAATGGTCGAGTGGGTGAGTGCGAGTGTGGGTGAGTGTGAGAGTGGGTGAGTGTGAGAGAGTGGGTGAGTGTGAGAGAGTGGTGAGCATGAGAGTGGGTGAGCGTGAGAGTGGGTGAGCATGAGAGGGGGTGAGTGAATGGCCAAGTGGGTGAGTGTGAGGGTGGTGTTGACCTCTCACCGTCTCAGTGATGAACTCTGTGAGGAGATCCTCCAGTAGATCCACACACTCCGTGTAGGGGTTCTGGTCATCTCCAAATCCGTACATCATACAGCGCACTGCACAGGAGGAGGAAAACTAAATCCAAACAGCCATAAAGCTCTCTGTCACAGATGTCCAGTAGTGGTCAGCGAGTTAACATAAAACAACACAAACAACTACGTACAAACCATTTTTAACTAAGACTTTCTATCTTGATTTGAGGCTTTCGTGACTGCGGTATAAAATAAAATAAATCACAACGTTTCGGGCGCAACACACGCGTCCGTCATGAGGATTGCCCTCTCATACTCACAGGCCCTTTGGATTTCACCCGTTGGGTTGCACTCCCTCGTCGAGGAGGCCGCTCTTCTTCTTTTCTACAGTTACATGCTAACTTCTCACATTAACATTATGCTGATCCCTCACATTAACATAGCCACTTCAGTGCCCTCGTCCAGGAGGCCGCTCTCCTCCTATCTTACAGTTATGTGCTAATTTATCACATTAACATCACTAGCCCCGGCCACTTATTTATGACCCTTGGGCTATACCCATTTCAAACATTTTAAAACAGTCTGCCCCAGCAGCAGGCCACGCTTTCCCACCTGGTGACGGACGCTTGTGTTGCACCCGAAATGTCGCGATTCATCTTAATGTATAAATACGTGCATTTACCGAAAGAACCATAGAGATGGATAAGACTTTCTATTTTACCAGGGTAAGGGGCCCCCCCACCCGGGCTACTGCGTAGCTCGGTTTCAGAAGCAACGTGGCCGTCACAAGATGATAGCAGCTCAACCAAGCGGCCGACATCGTCACCACGTGGACATTTAGAGCAGCAAAATACTCTGCACCTGTGATGTTGATCCTAAATGTACACACGAACTTACTCGTACACACACTAACACAACACACACTTAAACCCACACACACATATACAACAACCGCCATTTGCCACTAAGTGGCGGTGATGTGACCACAGCGCTTGTGCCAGGCTATGTGCACGTGGAGACCACGTAAAGTGTCGAATGCCCGCTGGCAGGAGGTCACGGGGCAGACCCAGGTGCCATGGGTCGACTGAGATCACTCGTTGTTGTGAGCGTCGCTCCTCCGCCCTCCGTTGTTGTTGGAGGGCGACGACCTCCAAATGCCCAGTAGCGTCCTTCACGAGCCTCCTCCACAGAGGCCGATCTTGACACTGCTGGTACCAGTCATCGGCAAGTCCACTCAGCTCCACGTCCTCCTGTACCACATCACTCCATCTCCTCTCTAGCCCGTTCCGCGCCCGTTTAGCCCCCTCTATCCGGCTGAACTAAAGCTGTTTAGGCATGCGGTGGCTGGGCATGCGGGCTACATGACCCAGCAAACGCAGCCTTGCCTGCTGGAGGAGCTCACCGATGGGACTTTGCCAAGATCTTTCAAGGATTTGTAAACTCGTCACACAATCCAGCCTGGTTACACCCAGAATGGATCGTAGGCAGGCCAGCCTATATGTTTCTAACCGGCGAAGATGTTCCATAAGGGGGGTCCACGTTTCACAAGCGTAGAGAAGGGAGGGAATAACCGTGGCCAAGAAGACCTGAAGCTTTGTGCGGAGCGACAGACCAGGTAGCTTCCACACAGCGTTACGAGTGGCAAGATATTGCTACTCGATTGAATCGGAGTGAGACCTCTGCTGTTAAACCAGAGCCGGTCATGAACACACTGCCCAGGTATGGGAAACTCTCCACTCTCTCCACAACTGCCCCATCACCGATTGGGAGTTGTGGGGATGGAGTGTTCGATGGTACAAAATACCCAGGCAGGTGCTTAGTTTTGGTGGGGCTGATGGTAAGGACCCACACCTCTTGGTGGAAAGGTCCAGTTTCAGCAGCAGCGTCTCCAACCCCTCCGCTGAGTGAGCAGCAATTACCAGATCATCACCATACATAACGTGGTTGACCAATAGGGAGCCATCCCTTGACCGCACCCGGGCATCGATCAGCCTCCCATTGTATCTGTACCAGATGTAAATTCCTCCGGTACAGCCATCGAAGGCTTCATGAACTAGATTGTCGAAATACTAACACGTATATGTTCAAACACTCACACTCATACACATACATGTACACATACATACATATACATACACACACACATGTACACACACACACTCACACACCCCCACCCCCGCTCACGCTCTTTAGAGAAGAGGCGGTGTCGTCCGCGCTGCCCACTGGAGGAGGCGGTGGCGGTGGCTACGGCACCCTCCTCGCCCTCCTCCTCGCCCTGCGGTCAACAACAACAACGACATCAACAATGATGACAACAACGATATCGACAACGCTAACGATGATATCAACAACGACAACGACAATGACGTCAACAATGACAACGATGACGTCAACAACGACGACAACGATGACGTCAACAACAACAACGATGACGTCAAAACGAAAAAGACTTTTTTTTCCTCCGTGGCTTTTATCCACGACTCCATCGTGGATAAAAGCCACGAAGGAAAAAGGTCTCCCGTGTAGCCTATTAACAGTGGATGAGTGGGTGGGTGAGTGGGTGGGTGAGTGGGTGGGTGAGTGGGTGGGTGAGTGGGTGGGTGAGTGGGTGAGTGGGTGGGTGAGTGGATGGGCGAGTGGGTGGGTGAGTAGGTGAGAGAGTAGGAATGGTGGGTGGGTGAGTGAGCGAGTGGGTGTGTGAGTGGGTGAGTGATTGGGCAAGTGGGTGGGCGAGTGAGTGGGTGAATGCATAGCTGTCAACCCATACGGTTTAACCCCGTATTCTTGTACAGGGAAATTGAGTTTTCAGGTCCATTTGTGATGGGACTTTGTAGCATGAACGTTTATATTTAGATGGGGCACGTGGTGACCAATAAGGTCTGAATTGGTCTGTGATTAGGTAGGGCACTGATGAGGGGTTGACGTGTTTGTAGTAGGGAGTAGCAGCAGCAGCGCCTACGAAGGCTGCCGGCACTGTGACACACACAGAGGGGGTGGGTGGCCAGCGAACCACGCACGCCTGGCCGCCTTTGTATCTCCCCCCCCCCCTAGTGGCGATGTTTACTACACATTACTGCACCGGTACCTCATTTAAGGCAGAGTCTACCTAGCGGAAGGCCCATGACCGGTTGAGATAATCGCTGCTGTCACTGGCGGTGGTGGTGGAGGCTCGTGAAGGACGCCGCTGCTGCTGCTGGGCATTTGTTGAGGCAGTCGCCCTCCAGCAGCAGCAGAGGGCTGAGGAGCGACGCTCACAACAACAAGCGGAGCGCCGGGCAGCTAAAGCACAGCGAGTTGGCGCAGTAGGGGGGTGGGGGGGGGCACAGGTGGTGGTGCACTGGCCAGTCAACTCGGTCAGTCGACCCCGTGGCAGCTGCTGGGTCTGTCCCGTGACCTCCTCCTATCAGCAGCGAGCTTTCGACACTTCGCGCAGTAGCCTCGAAGTGCACCTGGCCTGGCACAGGCGCATTTGGTGACGCTTCGTGGCGTGAGCAGGAATCGAACTCGGGTCTCGGGCCAGTTCGCAGCGCTGCGCGCCTAACCGCTGCGCCACCGCTCCCCACAATAGAACAACAGCAGCAGCTGCAGCTGTGGATCGAGCCTCGTCACGATCACGGTGGTGGTGGCGTGGCAGATCTGCCGTGTCCAGGGAGCGGTGGGTCAGCGGTTAGCGCACTGTGTGTGTGTGGGGAGCGGTGGTGCAGTGGTTAGCACACTGTTTGTGTGTGTGGGGAGCGGTGGTGCAGTGGTTAGCGCACTGTGTGTGTGTGGGGAGTGGTGGTGCAGTGGTTAGCGCACTGTTTGTGTGTGGGGAGCGGTGGTGCAGTGGTTAGCGCACTGTGTGTGTGGGGAGTGGTGGTGCAGTGGTTAGCGCACTGTGTGTGAGTGGGGAGCGGTGGTGCAGTGCTTAACGCACTGTGTGTGTGTGTCCGGGGAGCGGTGGTGCAGTGGTTAGCGCACTGTGCGTGTGTGGGGAGCGGTGGTGTAGTGGTTAGCGCACCATGTGTGTGGGAGGGGGGAGCGGTGGTGCAGCGGTTAGCGCTACGCTCCGTTGCTAACCTAGCGACCGAGGTTCGATTATCGCCCACTGCCACCAACACCGCCAGTGACGATTATCTGAGACGGTCCTGGGGCTCCCCTAGGTCCACTCAGCCTCAAATGAGGACACTGGTGTAGCGGTGGTGTGTGGTAAACATCGACATTGGGGGGAGACAAAGGCGGCCGGGCGTGGTGCTGGTCACCCACCTACTCACAGCCACCATCCCCTACAGCACCATCCCCTACAGCACCATCTCCTACAGCACTTTCCCCTACAACACTTGCCCATACAGAACTATCCCCTACAGCACCATCCCCTACAGGACCATCCCCTGCAGCACTTGCCCATACAGCACTTTCCCCTACAGAACTATCCCCTACAGCACTTTCCCCTACAGCACTATCCCCTACAGCACTTGCCCCTACAACACTTTCCCCTACAGCACCATCCCCTACAGCACCATCCTCTACAGCACCATCCCCTACAGAACTATCCCCTACAGCACTTTCCCCTACAGCACTATCCTCTACAGCACTTTCCCCTACAGCACTATCCTCTACAGCACTTGCCCCTGCAGCACTTGCCCCTACAACACTTTCCCCTACAGAACTATCCCCTACAGCACTTGCCCCTACAGAACTATCCCCTACAGCACTTGCCCCTACAACACTTTCCCCTACAGCACCATCCCCTACAGCACTTGCCCATACAGCTCGTGCCCATACAGCACTTGCCCCTACAGCACTTGCCCCTACAGCACCATCCCCTACAGCACCATCCCCTACAGCACCATCCCCTACAACACTTTCCCCTACAGAACTATCCCCTACAGCACTTTCCTTTACAACACCATCCCCTATAGCACCATCCCCTACAGCACTTGCCCCTACAACACTTTCCCCTACAGCACTATCCTCTAAAGCACTTGCCCCTGCAGCCTGCTAGAGGCTACACGGTGGCGCTTTGTCTGTGGCAGCGGTCGCGGTACCATGAAATCGTCCTCTTCGTCCGCCATGGCCCGGTGCGGTGATGTCATCGCCTGAGACACACAGCGGAGTGACGTCATTTTATAGTCCGGTGCGATGATGTCATCGTCTTAGATACACAGAGGAGTGACGTCATTTTATAGTCCGGTGCGATGATGTCATCGCCTGAGACACACAGAGGAGTGACGTCATTTTATAGTCCGGTGCGATGATGTCATCGTCTTAGATACACAGAGGAGTGACGGCCCTTTACAGCCTGCTGCGATGATGTCATCGCCTGAGCCACGCAGCGGAGTGACGTCACTTTATAGCCCCGTGTGGTGATGTCATCGCCTGAGCCACGCAGAGTGACGTCACATTATAGTCCGGTGCGATGATGTCATCGCCTGAGCCACGCAGAGGAGTGACGTCAATTTACATCCCGGTGCGATGATGTCATCGCCTGAGCCACGCAGAGGAGTGACGTCACTTTATAGCCCGTTGCGATAATCGCTTTAGTCAGGCAGCAGAGTGACGTCACTTTATAGCCCAGTGCGATGATGTCATCACCTTAGCCGAAGTTAGGCAGTGGAGTGACGTCACTTTATAGCCCAGTGCGGGGACGTTGTCATTCAGCTGGGTGGATGGGATGACGTCATATTGGATGTTTTAATTGAAAAGAGCTCCTGATGACGACTGCTCGTGTTGCGATCAAAACGTCGTTTTTGTTATTTTCTTTGAACCTATCTCCGTGACTTTACCGAAAGACCCAAGAATATTAATTCCTGCAGTCACAAAAGCTTTAAGTCGGGATGACGTCTGTTTATATCTCGCCCACACGCGTGGCGCAATGACGTGCACCAGTGTGACACGCGTGACGTCATGTAATCCGCGCAAAGTGACGTCACTCCCGTGCTGGCGACCCGTGAGAGGGGTGCGTGAACCCGCCGACGATTCCCGAGTTAACGACGAGAATCGATCTCTCCGAATCGATTTATCCAAACGGGGAATCGTAATCGGGGTTGAGTTAAGAGGAATCGATTCCTTGGTGTGACGTCACGTGCCCCCCCTCACCTACCACCCCCCCCACCTCGAGGTGGGGTCGGGCAGCAGTCAGAGTCGATCCACTGCTGGATGACTCCGCACCGCAGGCAAAAGCCATCGCGTGTCAACCCACACGGTTTACCCCCGAGGGCACTGAGAAGGGGTTGACGGTTATGGGAGTGAGTTGGTGGGTGAGTGAGTGGGTGGGTGAGTGGGTGGGTGAGTGGGAGAGTGAGCGGGTGGGTGAGTGAGTGGGTGAGTGGGTTGGTGAGTGAGTGGGTAGGTGACTGAGTGGATTAGTGAGTGAGTGGGTAGGTGAGTGGGTGAGTGAGTGGGTGGGTTGGTGAGTGGGTGAGTTGGTGGGTCGGTGAGTGAGTGGGTCGGTGAGTGAGTGCATAGCTATCAACCCGTACGGTTTACTCCCTATTATTGTACAGGGGCAATTGAGTTTTCAGGTCCATTCGTGATGGGACTTTGTAGGATGAACGTTGAGATTGAGAAGGGGCACGTGGTGACCAATAATGTCTGAATTGGTCTGTGATTAGGTAGGGCACTGATGAGGGGTTGACGTGTTTGTAGCAGGGAGTAGCAGCAGCAGCGCCTATGAAGGCTGCCGGCACTGTGACACACACAGAGGGGGTGGGTGGCCAGCTCCACCACGCACGCCCGACCGCCTTTGTATCTCCCCCCCCCCAGTGCTAACGTTCCACACGCCACCGCGTGCTGTGCTCATTTGAGGCTGAGTCGACCTAGGGGAGGCGGCCCAGGGTACAGGGTTCGAGATCTTCCCTGGTGGGTGTCGCTGGCCGTGAGCGGGAATGGAACTCGGCCCTCTGCCGGGTTCGTGGTGCAGCGCCCCAACCACTGCGCCACCGCTCCTCGCTCACGGCGAGATGTTGACTACCTCGCCTGTTATGCAGGACAAGGCCGTAGTCATGGAGTCAACATTGGGGGGGACCGAATCTTCCAGGGGGGTCTGGGGGTATTCCCCCAGAAAAAAAAAAATCTAGATTTAAAAACGAATTTCCTGCCTAAAATTTCAAAACATTCACTAACACATAAGATGGATTTTGTTTTGTTTACAATAATGTCTAATAGTGTATTGTATTACATTGGTCTGTTTTTAATTTGTTTACCTTTTCTTGTTTCATTGTATGTAATGGCAGAGGTTAGGGATTCATAAAGTACAATAATAACCACAATCATATAAACAGAAATCTATTTCAAAGGAATGAATGTGAGACAAATACTCCTGTAATTTACGTTTATTATAATTTTGATTTGAAGCTTTCGTGACTGCAGGAATCCATACTATCCTGCCTCAGCAGTTCTCCTGCTGCATTTATGTCACCTGATGACGATTGCTTGTGTTGCGATCGAAACGTCGTATTTTTTTATACCTACGTGACTTTACCGAAAGAACCAAAGTAATGATTCCTGCAGTCACGAAAGCATCAAATCAAGATTATAATAAACGTAAATTACATTTCATATTAAAGTATGAAATAACAATTGACAAGTGAACTTACGATGTCTCATAGCTTGATCTCGCATCACATTCTCTCATTTTATCTCTCACTCTCCGTGCCTCCCCCTCTTACGTCCGCGAGTTGTTCGCTCCTCTGAGTGTGATCTACTACTATTGCTTGTGTAATAAGAGAGCGCCATCTCCTGTATTATTGTGGGGGTTACATTACACATCATACAGTCCACGTATTTTTGATTGTAGGGATTCTATCTGGAGTAAAGGTGAATGGGCGGATCTACCAGGGAAGCCTCTGGAACGTTCTCGAAGGTTCCAGGAGGGGCGGGGTTTAGCCTCCAATAACTGAATAGGAATGTTCGGGGTCGGTGTTTGAAGATCGAAGAGCTCCCGTCACTGCTGCCCCACCATCTCCACCTGCCACGTGGCGGCGCGACCTCCAGCGTGCCACCAGCCAGGCGGTGTGTTAGCGAGCGCAGCCACGAGAGCGGGTCGACATCCATGGAGAGAGTGGCTGTACCAAAGATTTACAATAAATATTGAAGTTACTTACTTGTGTGGGAGCCACTCATTACACGTGTGCCGAGGTCGCACCTCCATTCAATGGGTGACCCCGGGGAGTCGTTTCCCGTGTGGGTCCCCAAGCTGCAGCATTCACTTCCATCGAATATTCGATCTGCCGAGTCCCTCCGTTTAGTTAATCCCTACCTCGACATTTTTTTCCTGATTAATTTGGTTCTGTGTTTCGGGAGTGCGGAAGGGATATTTGTGTAATGGGTTCTATTGAGGCGCACACTTCCCTGTGGAGGCAACACTTTATTAACATTTGTTACCCACACTATACATAGGGTGGTGACCACCGACCTTCTCTCACTACACTCGGGTACATTAACTAGCGTGGCCCCGCCACGTGGGCCTTGGCCCCGACCTCTTCGTCTTCACGAGGCATCTTCATCACGGGCGCGAACAGCCCCGCTCTCTCAGCGGCGCCCGCTTATATGCCTCTCTAGCGTGGCCGGCCACACCCTGGCTACGCCCCCCTTCTCGAACCCTCGAGAAGGCTCCGGACCCCGACAACGTGACCCCCAGGGTAGTGACGCCATGTGTGTGCAGACCCGACATAGTAGTGACGTCACGTGTCACTACATCACCCCCCCCCCGCCGAGTCCTGTATATCCGTGTCTATGGATCCTGTGTATCTCGGTCTCAATAGTGGGTCTCTGCATCTCTAAGATTTTCTACGTGTTTCCTTCACGATCCACAGTTTTGGTCACGTGGCCATCATCGCACCACTGCAGCTGCGTCTTTAATCCCCCATCAGGTGCAATTATTCGGACGCCACTGGAGCTGTTGCAGTTTAAAATCTTAAGAGTGAAAACTCAGTTATTTAGAAACTGCTCATTGTTGTTGCGTTTAGTTTGTCGTCCTTTCCCCGCACCTACGATTAGCACGGTTGGCGAAATACATTCAACATACATAGATACATACTCTGTGGTTCTTTCGGTAAAGTCACGTAGGTATACAATAAAATAAATCACGTTTGCTGTGGTTTTCCCACCTGATGATGATTGCTTGTGTTGCAATCGAAACGTGATTATTTTATTTTCTACCTACGTGATTTTACTGAAAGAACCAAAGAGTATGGATTCCTGCAGTCACAAAAGCTTCAAATCTAGATACATATGTTCAAACATCAAATAGAAGCCTTCTGCAAGGAATCGAGTCCCCATTAGCCACACGTACTTGCGGTGAACATGCAAACATGCTCTGATCATTTATGCAGTCTTTGAAACAGATTGGCTTACACCAGAGGCGTTCTCTGTAGGGCCTGGACAGTGCCAGACCAGAGAAGATCGAAAGGCCAACAGCACAAGGACAATGCCACACGTATCAGAACATTTCTCGGGGTGAGCAGCTACAAAATGGGACCTTTTTGCCAATATCAAAGTATGAAAAAAATAAGTAAAATTAAATTTTTTTTTAAACACGCTTTAATGAAATGTACCGTACTAATAATGGAAGAACTCCACGACTCCAGCAATTGGCCCCGAAGCTTGCCATAGCGTAAGGGACCGTGGTGATTTACAGCCAACGTCAGTTGAGCGTGGACAATTAGACCAAAGCCGAAACATAACATAAAAAAAATGTTAAAAAATATCTTATTTATTTTTAATGATAGAATATGGTATTGTCATCGGTATGACATAGGTATACCAAGTTTGCAGTCGATACCACATTGGGAAGTGGGTAAAATTGAGTTAAAAGATTTGAGGATACAACAAAGTGAGTTAATAAAAAGCGTGTAAAATTAGAATAGGTTTAACCCTTTCTGGCAATAAAACAGGTGTTAAGATGCTCAAATACCAAATGGATTCTAGCTTTCGCAAGGAACTTAGTTCTGTATTAACCACACACATTACTTGTGAACATGGAAACATGCGCTGATAACAATGTTATTGTCTTTAAACCGATTGGTCTACACCAGACAGCAACCTCCTTGAGGGCCTCGTCTCACCAGTGTCAGACCAGGGAACGCCAAAAGGCGAACAGATACATAGATAC